GTCTTTTCACATCATCTGAATTTCCGAATTCCTCATTCTCACACCATTGGGATTTGACATTCAATTTTCATGATAAGGGCATTATCATAGTAAAAATAGTACTTCATTTCTAATGTCGAAGCACATATACCGGGTATACTCTGTATGAGATGTCTTTTTATTGTACCAACTGAAAAATCTAGCAAAATTGCCTCTAAACTATCCATTGCCTTTATAAACATGATATTTATTTTTTATTCAGAGTGCATGGTTTGAAATCTGGGAAGACGTTAAAGGAATTCCGTGGCCACACATCATTTGTTAATGACGCTATGTTCACACCAGATGGGCATTTCATTATCAGTGCTTCATCGGATGGTACTGTCAAAGTAAGTTAAAAAATGCAGGATATATATTTGTGATGACTCTATTTAAGGCAGTAAGAACCAAATTTTCAAATTCAAATTTTGCACAACTGAGCACTCATTCCCATTGTATATAATGGAAAACTAGTACATGTGTATCAGCCTGGAAATGATTTCATAATGTTATATTTCATATCAATAAAAATATATATATATGACTTTTTCATCCCGTGTCACTAAGCAACATTTGAGATATGGATAAATAATCCCCCCCCCCCAATGGGAACCAGTGTAAAACTGACAATTTTTACCATTTCTGTGACATTTCGAATCCTTGTGATCCCAATTTATTTTAATTTTATTTTCGGCGTTACAAACATGACATATCTTTATGTTGTTAAAACCTTCTTAAAAGCATATTATTTCTGATGTGATGTGAATGTTTGCAAAATAGACTTAGATTTTCTGTGTGGTCATTTGCATATTTCAAAAATACAATCTTTCCTTTGTTGCCAGGTGTGGAATGTAAAGAGCACAGAATGTACAAATACTTTCAAATCACTGGGAGGAACATCAACGGCTGACATCACTGTCAACAGTGTACATCCAGTACCTCGAAACACAGAACAGTTTGTTGTCTGTAATCGGAGTAACACTGTTGTTATTATGAATATGCAAGGCCAGGTGAGTTGTACAGCTATTGTATCAATAGGTGGTAATATAGGATTAACTGTTAATTTGTATACTATATTTAATGTCTTGCGGTACATATAATGTCTTTAGGTATAGGGGTTGTGAGAGGCTTTGAGATATTTGATTTTTTTCACTCAAGTTTAAGCAACAAGAAAAATAATGATGAGCACAAAGCCACAAACATTAGAAAATTACTATTTAGCATGTTTGGATAATAAAATTTCAATAGTCACCAAAATAGATTCTACCTGTTTCATATTCTTTTTCAGATTGTTCGTAGTTTCAGTTCTGGTAAACGTGAAGGTGGCGACTTTGTATGTGCTACTATCTCACCTCGTGGTGAATGGATCTACTGTGTAGGAGAAGATCTGGTGCTCTACTGCTTCTCAACAAACACTGGCAAATTGGAAAGAACCCTCAATGTAAGTTATAGTTGATTGTTTTTACCATGCATCTAAGTGTATTGCAGGATTTATGATTTGCTCTAGATTAGCACCGCATGTGTTTATGTAAATTGCTGTGTGTCTATGGTTAAAATAAGTAATATTTGAATAATTCAGTATAATACATGCAATTTTGGGCTTATGTGCACTTCTAATAGAGCAAATACAGATGTTCTGTACTATAAGATCTTATCAACTTGTTGTGAGTGACCAATATGTGTGTACTTTAAGTGACTTTGTCCTTTTCTGTCAGACATGTGTAATGGACACTGGCATTGTGACAATGAGAGAGAGTAGAGATGTATTTACATACAGTTGAACTTTTAGGTGTAGTTGTGTTTGAAAATTATTATGTGACATATTTGATGGCATCAATTGCAGCAAATCCAGTGGTTAGCAATCGTTTTTGCTATCCATTTTAGTAATCATGTTTTGGCACCTGTGGATTCAGGAAAATTCACAAGTGTTACTGGGAGCCAAATCTTGGTGAATATTTCCTTCAATTCACACCTTGTCATTTTAATATTCAAACATACAGTAAATGCAAATTTTGGTTTATCTGTGCTTCTAAATACGAGTAAATACAATATCATGATTTGAACATGGTGAAATTTCCCCTGACTTTGTGCAGTTTTCCTGGTCAGAAAAACAGCCCAGTGAATGTTTGACTTCATAATAAATAGGATCTTCTTAATGAATTATTTTTCTATGCCTCACAGGTTCATGACAAAGATGTTATTGGTATTGTACATCATCCACACAACAACCTGATTGCAACATACAGTGAAGATGGTCTACTGAAACTCTGGAAGCCTTAGCACAAGACATCTTGTAAAACTGCCACAGATTATCATCAAGTACCGGTACTAAACAAGGACTGCCAAGAGAAGTGCTTGACATCATGTTATCTGCCTTATCTCAGATCATGGAATTTTGCAACTGATCTGATTGGCTGCTTTCTCAATTTTATAAAACCTATCCACTTTAATTTAAGTTCTGTCCAAAAATGTCTAAAAAAAAACAATAACTTTTGCATAAGAGAATGAAACTGCAGAATTTGGTTTTCCACAGCAAGAATTTTGCTTTATTTGCTGCCACCCCAAGATATCTTGTTATCATCACAGCTATATCCCCAACATTTTATTAGTTCAATGACTTTTGACAGTGACTAGTCATTGACCGTTCCTTCCTTGCAGTGAAATGAAGTTGGAATTGCTATATATTTCACAGCAAAAGCTTCAAATTGACTGTTTGTTCATGTTCACTTTTCTCCATGCCAAGGCCCTGTGTTTCAGTTTATTTAAACTGAAGCCTACAAAGAATAACATATTTGTCTGTCTGTTCATTTGTAAGAAGCGAAAAAAATGCAGATTTTCTTGTTTTCAGGCCACAAGATTTTTGAATATTTAAAATATACCATTATGTTGTATATGTAATCATGTTTCACAATGATTGTTATTACGGTCAACATGGATTTCACTTGGATGTAGACATTTTTAGTCAAATAATAAACTTAATGATTATATTCACTACTGACTGCTTTGTTTTCATAACTTGTTCATGTTATAAAATCATGTAGTAATTAGTTCTGATTCAAACGAAGTTTGAAACAATGACTTAATGCAGTCTCTGTCTGTCCAGTCATATTTGTGGACCAAATCTGTTCATTCTTTGCTTGTGCCTAGTACTTTATCTGGTTTACTGATTCAATCCAAGAGTGCCGACTGTTTTTTGAAAAATGTGGTATCGTATCATTCTTATGCATGCTTTGTCAGTTTTGGTTCAAAATTTTAGATTACATGTTCACAACAATCTGTTTTACAATTGGATCAAAAATGACTGACTGGTGAAAATTTTGCTTTTTAACCGTAATACTATATCTCTAAAGTTTTTGGACCAATCACCATTTTCATTCATATTTGGCACATACATCATAAATATATGAATACATGTTCATGTCAGTTTGTTCGATAATCAGATCAAAGATGGCCGACTGGCATCCTTGTTTATTTGGAAATGTGGTTTCAAATTTGATACAAACATATATGTTGGCATATATGTCCATAATGATTTGTTTCTAGTTAGCCTTCGCAGACGAAGTCTGCCGAAGGCTTATAGATTGGGTTCTGTCCGTCCGTCCGTCCGTCTTTTACCTCTTATAACTTTAATATGCTCTGTCCATTTTTTTTCCAAGTTGGTGCAAATTTTATTCTCAATGCCATGCATATGCACGCCAAGTATTTTTTTGATTCGCCAAAGTTTCATTGTGTTTTTCTGTGATTTTCAACATTTTACTAGTACAAGTGCCGAAATTTGCCGGAAAAATCCGAGTTTTGCCGACATCTCGCAAGTAGAACTGGCATACCGTATTTCGCATGCGCCAGTCTAACCGCTGAGGAAATCGCCGTCGATTTCGTCTGAGGATATTGTATTCCGGGACTGTATCTTTCTTTGCACAAGGCTTACACAGATTAAATTCTATCTCAAAGGTAAGAAACTGTGCTTTTGGTATTTATTATGAACTTTGATTTATTCTTTTGTGTGTCCTGACTTTAGTGAGAAACGATCGCACAGTGTCACACTTTGCCAGAAAAACAGTCCTGCTATTAGTTCAAGAACTGGTTATGAAACGTGTAAATCGAAAGTTTATCTCGTCATTAAGGAGGCTTAGGAATAACGTTTGGCATATGAAATACTGGAATAATAAAAACGTAAAAGTTTAGAACACGCTGATCGTGATTCTGTTATGTACGATTGCTATTTCCGGTGTTCATTGGCAGTGCTAGCAGATTGAAACTTGGTTTCGTGACGACATATTAGACTAGAATTATCGAGAAAACAAGTCAAGTTCGGCCAACCGTGACTGCTTGAAAGCAATGATGAAATTGAAAAGTACTTTAATTCAATATCAATGAATCTATCATCACTTTTAAATTACCTTTGAAGTAAATATGATACCCGAGTGCGTTATTGCATTCGTGACCGGGACTTCCATGGTGTTGGAAGTTTATCGGTAAATCGAACCTCTGTCAACAGAGACACATTTTCCCAATCAGCTATTTATCTCGGTACAGAAGTCAGGGTGGCAATTTCAATGTTTAGCTACCATAATTTATCTCCATTATGAGCAGGAAAATAAATTACGGACCTCGATTGAGATGGATTTAACGGCGGCCATGTTTTTAAGGGATATGTGAAATAATATTAGGGAGGGGGTCAAATTCACGTAATCCTCAATTTTAATGATGTTGACTTAATATTAAATTTTTTTTTTTCAAAACTCCGGATATTATTAGTCCCCGTTCGGACGTAGTCCGAAAACGGGGACTTATGGTTTGCCCTGTGTGCGTCCGTGCGTCCGTGCATCCGTGCGTCCGTGCGTCCGTGATCACCTGTATCTCGAACATGCATGGACCGATTAAGTTCAAACTTCACTCATACATCACACATTATATGGGACATATGCACATGCATTTTTTTCATGATCCGATTAACGATAGCCGAATAGCGG